GGGGGGGGCGTGCGAAATCTACTGCGCATCTCCCCTTGAGAACGTGCTATTCCTCAGCCTGGCCAGCCCTTCTTGAGCCCCAGCAAAGGGACAGGGTCTCTGTTTACATTGAGTACCAGTGGTGTCTGTGGGAGGGCATAAGAAGCTCTTGGGGAAAGCCCTATGCTGAAGGGATCCCTCTTCCCTTCACTCACCTCTGTGCCCACCCACGGGCCAGTGAAGGGGAAATGAGGGAGAGGGGTGACTTCATAACTGCGGGAGCAAGAAGGGACTTCGCCCACCTCTCCCTTCTAAGGCCCAAAGATTGAAGGGGACTTGCAAGATTCCTCTCTTACATCCCTGTGCAGTTAGCGCTGGAGCTGGTATTAGAACCCAGGTCTCCTGACTCCCTGCCCAGTGCTCTTTCCACCCCACCAAACCCCTGATTGCATCTTTGAAGGGTAACGGAGGAGACAAGGCTTTTTAGCTTCAGTTGTTCTGTAGAGTCTGGTGGGAGGGGGTGAGCCCAGGGTTTCAGCTTCCTCCATCACAGTCACGACCCCCCTCCTTGATTCCTCAACCCCTGAGCAGCACCGTCCTGGGGGCAGAAGCCCTGGGCATCCCGAGAGGAGGGCTCTGATACTGAGACTGTTTCCCCAGGGCCCCCTGGATGTGACGCTGACTCAGCCTGTGAGGAGCGCGCCCATCTCAGACAGGTGAGCTCCTCCTCTACGTAACCCTGGTCTGGAGACCCCAGCCGGTTCCCGGGACCTCCATCCTTGCCGCCTCCCCTCTTGCGATTGTGCAATAAGGGAGAGTCCTTATGCCGGACGCTGTGGTTTGGCTGGGGTCCCGAGGGGGCGGTCCGGCTGGGGGCGCCGGGAGGAAGGGGGGGGGTCCGGGCTATTTTTGGTGCGAGGTCAGACCGGCCCAGCAGTTCCCACAGCCTGGGGGAGGGGTGCCCAGCCCGGGAGCAGGCACCCCTTGCTGTCTGGGGAACCCCTATTGAGGAGCCCCCTGGAGGCTGGGGCCAGGACCCGCAGCCTCGCCCAACCCTTCGTCCCCTCTGGCCCAGGCTGCAGAGCTGGGAAGAGACACGGAGCCTCATCCCGGAGAAGGGGCCGCTGGAAGACGACACGGATGTCGTCGTGAAAGGTGAGGACCCGCCTCATGCATTCTGGATGTCCCTCAGTCCTACGACTCCTGGGAATAATGTCTTCGCCTGCTGATACCCTCCCCCCAGGTTGGCTGTACCGCGAGCCCCGCGGACGAGGGGCACGGCCCTGGTTGCCCCCGCGTCGGGCCTGGTTCGTGCTCACCCGGGACTCCCTGGACCAGTTCAGCAGCAGCGGGAAGGGGGCACGTCGCCTCGGGAGCCTGGTGCTCACCAGCCTGTGCTCGGTAACCGGCCCGGAGCGCAGGCCCAAGGAGACTGGTGAGACCTTGTGAGGACTCTCCTACCTCCCTGGGCAGTACCCCTAGCTGGCCCTGATTACCCTCCGCGGCCTCTCTTTCCCGCCAGGTCTGTGGTCAGTGACCGTGTCTGGCCGGAAGCACAGCGTCAGGCTCTGCTCCCCGCGCCAGGCTGAAGCAGAGCGCTGGGGGGTGGCGCTGCGCGAAGTGATCGCCTCCAAGGCACCGCTGGAGACCCCCACCCAGCTGCTGCTCAGGGACATTCAGGTAGGAGAGAGGGGACCCCATCGAGAACGAGGAAGGTGGAGGGCCCAGCAGCGTACTGGATTCGTGGGGAGCCCCCTTCTCCATGACTGCGACCCTTTCCCCCGTGTCTAGGAGAGCTGCGGAGACCCAGAGGCCGTGGCCCTCATTTACCGAAGGAACCCGATTCTGAGGCACACCAGTGGGTCCTTGTATGCCCCACTTCTGCCCCTGCCCTATGGAGTCAGCGCCCCAGGTGAGTGGTGACAGTGGTCCAATCCCTTGGATGGGGAATCTGAATGTCTCACCTAACAGGGATCTAGGAGTCCTCAGGGGACCTACCCAGCCCCTCACTTTTTAAAAAATGAAGCTGAAACCGGAAGCTTACCAGACTGATACCAAAGGTGTAGGGGTGGGAAGCCAGCAGTCACACAAAAAGGCCTCCTTTGACCTTTTCTGACTGCTGGTGTTCCTTCACGAGTTTTACCTCTTCTATTTTTGTACAATAGGCTTAGGACCAGGCCACCCCACCTTTACAAGTGGTGGGAAAGCCACCACTTTAGGAGAAGGTTGTGCCTCACCCAGCTACATTGCTTTCCAAATGGGAGTCGTGACTGGCCCAGGTCCTAAAGCTACAGGATTAAGGGGAGAAGAACCCTGGTTTTCTGACCCCCCAGTCCAGCCTGTTTTCTGGCCCATGGCGATGGTGCTCTGTACCCAGTTACAGAATCTGGTTTTAACCTATGTCCTTTAGTCTATCCCTCTACCTTACTAACTCGAAGTGCAGCTTCAGCAGATCCAGGGGGAAGATTCCTGGGAGGCCGGGGGTTGAGTCTGGCTCTGTAGGAACCGTTGTTTTCCCTTCCCTCTTCCTGTCGTCCGTACTCTCCCTTCCTTGCCACCCTCGGTTCCCTTATACTCCCTCTGACCTTCGCTGGTTCACGCCTTCCTCCCAGGGCTCGGCTCTGTGTCCCCTCTCCAAACCGACCCTGCACCCCCACGCTCCCGCAGGTCCTGGCTACGCACCCTTGCGCGAGGAGGCGGTGCGGCTGTTCCTGGCTCTGCAGGCCCTGGAGGGGGCGCGGCGCCCCGGGCCCCTGATGCAGGGTGTGCTCCAGACCTGCCGGGACCTGCCCGCGCTTCGAGACGAACTCTTCCTGCAGCTGGCTAAGCAGACCTCGGGCCCCGCGGGGCCCCCTGGGCTCCCGGCTTCCCAAGACCCCGCGGCCCTACGGTACTGGCAGCTTCTCACCTGCATGAGCTGTACCTTCCGGCCTGGGGGAGCTGTACGGGGGCATCTCCTGGGACACCTGGAGAGGTGAGAGGGCTGGGGTGGGGTGAGGCCAACGCAAGGGAGCTTTAGAGCTGGGAGAGAATGACGGTGCGGGCGTTTCAGAAGGGTTCCGTACCTGGAGAACTTAAACCCAAAGGAGGGAAGGCACTTGCCCAAGGTCAAGGCCGCTGCTAATAGCGCCTTGGTGGGAATGGCAAGATCCCATCTCACTTGCAGGAGGAGAAATTACAAAAAGGTGCCCCCTTTGGGCGGAAGAATAACCCAAAGGGTGCTTTTCCTTGCGGCTGATGCAGCCGGGGCTTTTAGGTTGGACAGCGGAGTGCGGCTCCGTTGCCACCCGGAGCAGGATCGGGGAGACTTTGGGAAGTGGGAGGGGCAGTTAGGAGAAAGCTGCGGGGGGGCGGGGAGACACACGGGACTTAGAAAGTAATTGCGCGCCCTACAGAGCGCCGGGTGTAGATTCAGAAAAGCCCGTCGCTGCCTTCATGGAACTTGGAGTTGGAGGGGAGGGAATCGACGAGACGAAATAAACTATAAAATAAGACTGTGAGAGTGAGGGGGAGAAGGAAAGCCCTCGCTCCGAGCACCGATCTTCGGGTTCTCACTATCCCAGGACCGAGCAGGCGCTCCCGGACTCGGAACTGGCGGAATATGCTCGCTTCATCCGAAAAGCGCTGGGCCGGACGCGAGGCCGAGAGCTGGTGCCCTCGCTGGCTGAGATTTCCGCGCTGAGCCGACGGCAGGAGCTGTTGTGCACCGTGCACTGTCCGGGGGCTGGTGCCTGCCCGGTGGCCATAGACTCCCACACCACGGCGGCGGAGGTAAGACCAGAGAAAGACCCCCTGGAACCCCAGCCTTTCCTCCCAGCTTCCTGTGCTCCAGCTCTCCTGGCGCGCGGGCCCCAGGTTTGCCCCGCGTCTGAGATTCATCATTTGGGTGAGGGATATGTGTGTGGCGGGACTGAGAGACCTCCAGTTGGATCAGCCCCTCCAGAAGTCCTGAGAAGACCTCTGTGCGGCCTGACTTTCCCCTCACGCGCTTTCCCCTCCAGGTGGCTCGAGAGCTGGTGGGGCGGCTGGGCTTGGCCCGAAGCCGCAACGCTTTCGCGCTGTATGAGCAGCGAGGCGCCCAGGAGCGAGCCCTGGCTGGGGGGACGCTCGTGGCCGACGTGCTCACCAGGTTTGAGAAGTAAATGTCCAGCCCCAGCCCTGCTCTGCGTTAGCCCACCCTTCTCGAAGCGTCCGTCAGTCCTTAAGCAAACGTATACGAGCGCTTGCTACTTGCCCTGAATAGTGAGGTTTGCTGGTTCTGAGATGGACCCCTGTCCGCCAGCGGTTTGCAGCCCAATTTCAAAGCTGATCTCCTGGGTCCAGTTCGCCCTGGCCCTGCCCCTGCCCCAGGGCCCCACCCCAAGTTTGGCCCGGTCCCGCCCCAGGCCTTGGGGGGGATGGGGGCTGTCACTGAGTCGCTTAGCGCTGGGTTCTCTAATGCAGTGTGGCCGCGGAGGAAGCCGCGCTGGAGGACTCTCCCGACTCCAGTTGGAGACTGTGTCTGCGTCTTCATGGACCTCTGCACCCTGAGGGACTGTCCCCAGACGGTCACGAACTGCCTTTCCTCTTTGAGCAGGTGAGGATTTGTAGCATTCACGCCCCCCAAAAGACCCTGGAGCCTGAACTCCCTTGTTGGGCCATCGCATTTCGGCGTTTCGGCAACCCCGTGGGAGGCTTTAGTCGAACCCAGACCTCAGATTCCTCGCCCGGAGGTGTTTTCCTCGCCCCGACGGTACAGCCGCGGCTGCCTCTCTGACGCCCAGTGCCTCCCCCGTAGGCTCACGCTCTGCTGCTGCGCGGCCGGCCTCCCCCGCCGGACGACACGCTGCGCGCCCTGGCGGCGCTGCGCCTGCAGAGCCTGCACC